ATTTACTGGACAATTAAAAAATTGGTGGGATAATGCTTTAACATTACAAGATAAATTATCAATATTAGATCATACACAAGAAATCGAAGGAAATATTCAAATACAGTCAGATGCTGCAGAATTTTTAATTGTAACAATAGTCATGTATTTTATAGGAAATCCAAAAGAAGAATTAAATTCTAATAAAACATTTTTAACAAATTTAAGATGTCCAACATTATCAGATTTTAGATGGTATAAAGATATGTTTTTAACAAATGTATTAAGAAGACCAGATTGTAATGCTTCATTCTGGAAAGAAAGATTCATAACTGGATTACCAAGCTTATTTTCACAAAGAATAATGGATAATTTACAAAAAGAAATGGGAACAGATGTCATTTCATTCGACAATATTACTTTCGGACAATTATTTGCTTTTGTGAAAAAAGAAGGATTAATGTTATGTTCAGAATTAAGATTACAAATAAAATATGGATCGAAACAAAAAGAAGTAGGATCATTCTGTGATGCATTTGGAATTAAAAGAATTAAGTCACCATCAGCATACAAAAAGAAAGTTAAAAAATATTCCAAGAAAATAAGATATAAAAAACCTAAGGAAAATGAACCAACTAAGAAGAGAAAATTTATTAAAAAGAAAATTGTTTGTTATAAATGTGGAAAAATAGGTCATAAAGCAAACAAATGTAAATTGAAAGAAAAAATTATAGAAATCTGTGTAAACGAAGAAGAAATTAAAAATAAATTAATAAATTTGTTAATAAATGAAAAAGATAAAAGTTCTGAAGAAGACTATTATGATGATATTATTAGTTCCGAAAGTGAAGAAGATTGTAATTGTACTCCAAAATATATAAATGTTATAACTAAAAAAGAAGACAAAGAATTCTTATTAGACATAATAGACAAAATCGAAGATCCAATAGCTAAAAAAGAATATTTAGAAATATTAAAAAGCTTAATTATTCAAGAAGACAAAATGCCTAAAATAATAGAACCTTTTAGTATTTCTAAATTAATAGACAAATATCCTAATATAAATATAATGAAAAAGGAAACTACTAAAGATCTTCAATCAGAAATTAATAATATTAAAATACAAGTAAAACAATTACAACAAGAAATTATAGATTTAAAGACAAAAGACTTAGAAATAGAAGCCAAACTAACATTAATAAATAATAATCAACCTTCAACCTCTAATACCAAAACAGACGAAATATCAATAGCAGAAAACCCAGTAAAAGAAGACCAATATATAAATACTATAGAAAAAATGACTTTTCAAAAATGGTTTGCCTTAGTAACTATCACAGTAGAAGATTTCAAAGAAACTTTTGTAGTTCTAATAGATAGTGGAGCTGATACAAGTTGTATTAAAGAAGGAATAATCCCCACTAAATATTGTGAAAGAACAAAAGAAAAACTAATGGCAGCAAATGGAGAAAATTTAGAAGTAAAATATAAATTTACAAAAGGATCAATATGTAATAATGAATATTGTATTAGACATAATTTCATAATTGTAAACAATATAAATCATGATGTTATATTAGGAACACCCTTTTTAATTCAAATATATCCATTTCTAGTAAGTCATGAAGGAATTTCAGTAAACATAATGGGAAAAATTATTACCTTTAAATTCTTAACTCCAATAAGACAGAAGGAATTACAAACATTACAAACATTTTCAATATATAAAACAATAAATACCATTACTAAGGTACAACAACAAATAAGTTATATTAAAGAAGAAAAATTTTATTTAAAAATTGAAGAACAATTAAATGATATTAAACTACAAAAAAGAATATCAGAACTAGAAGAATTATTTCAAAAAGAAATTTGTGCAGATATTCCTAATGCTTTTTGGGATAGAAAACAACATATGATAGAATTACCTTATGAAAAAGATTTTGAAGAAAAGAATATTCCAACAAAAGCTAAACCAATACAAATGAATTCCGAGCTATTAGAATTTTGTAAGAAGGAAATAAAAATATTAATACATAAAGGATTAATAACACCTTCAAAATCACCTTGGAGTTGTGCTGCATTTTATGTGATGAATCAAGCTGAAAAAGAAAGAGGAGTTCCAAGATTAGTAATAAATTATAAACCTTTAAATAAAGTATTACAATGGATTAGATACCCTATTCCTAATAAAAAAGATTTGCTTAATAGACTATTTAATGCAAAAATATTCTCAAAATTTGATATGAAATCAGGATATTGGCAAATAATAATAAATTCAAAAGATAGATATAAAACAGCATTCACAACACCTTTTGGACATTATGAATGGAAAGTTATGCCATTTGGATTAAAAAAATGCACCTTTAGAATTTCAAAATATAATGAATAATATTTTTAATCCTTACAGTTCATTCAGTATAGTCTATATAGATGATGTATTAATATTTTCAGAATCAATAGAACAACATTTTAAGCATTTAAGTATATTTTTAAAAATAGTTAAGAAGAATGGATTAGTTGTTTCTGTTCAAAAAATGAAATTATTTCAAACAAAAATAAGATTTTTAGGGCATAACATATATCAAGGAACAATAAAACCAATTAATAGAGCTTTAGAATTTGCTACTAAATTTCCAGATGAGAAAAAAGATAAAAATCAATTACAAAAATTTTTAGGATGTTTAAATTATATAGCAGATTTCTTTCCTAAGTTAAGACAAGAATGTTCTATATTATTTAATAGATTAAAGAAAAATCCAAAACCTTGGACAAAAGAACATACTCAAAAAATAAAATATCTAAAGGAAAAAATTGAATCTTTACCATGTTTATGTTTACCCCATCCTAAAGCATTCATGATAGTTGAAACAGACGCATCAGAATTAGGATATGGTGGAATACTAAAACAGAGAATAAATAATTCAAAAGAAAAATTAGTTAGATTTCATTCAGGAACCTGGTCTGATCCTCAGAAAAATTATTCAACAATTAAAAAAGAAATCTTATCCATAGTCTTATGTATATCAAAATTTCAAGATGATTTATATAATAAGAAATTTTTAATTAGAATAGACTGTAAATCTGCAAAAGAAATTTTACAGAAAGATGTTCAAAATATTGTTTCAAAACAAATATTTGCTAGATGGCAAGCTATTCTATCTGTATTCGATTTTGATATAGAATTTATTAAAGGAGAAAATAATTCTTTACCAGATTTTCTTACTAGAGAATTTCTACAAGGACATGGATCGTGAAATGATGGCACACAGAGAAGAACGAGAATACACCAATTATTTGAGAGCTCAAAGGGATTCTCCCACACTTCAAAATAAAGAAAAAGATATCCAATCTAGAGGATATCAATATTTTGCCCAAACCAGCTATGGCAGACAATGTATTCCAGCTCATCAAATTCCTAAATATGATACCATACACATTCGAAAAAGTCCTTACACTACAATCACTCCTCAAGAAAAAGCCTTTCTTATTCAAAGAGAAATTCAGAGAAATACCATTCGTATCAAAGTTATGAAAAGAATTGAGAGAAGTGAGGAATTTATTCAATATCACAGAGAGCAAAATAAGAAATTATCTGACCAGCTTAAAAATATTGTTTATTAATATTGCAGGATTATGGATTCAAAAGCAGGAAATTCCAGGCCAAAGACTCCTCAAGATTATGAGATGAGTCTTACTCTTGTCACTCAAAATAGATTCCAACTCTTATCAGATTTTCCAGCACTGACTTATAGTCAAGCTGCTTGTACTCCAACTTCTTCTCAAATTAGACCAATTCAACAACTACCAAAATCCCCAGAAAAATCCATAGAAAATACCTATTTTACAAAGCCTTTTACTCAACATATTACTTTAACCAAATTCCAAGAAGTACCTTTGTATTCTACACTCAATCAAATTACTCAAAGAATCTTTCCTTCAAAATGTTTTTGGCAACCTGATGATCCCTCCAAAAATCTGGATTATTATGAATTGATTCTTACAGATATTCAATCTGTAGAAATATTCCTAATTCCAGACAGGAAAAATCCAAATATAATTAGCCACTCAAAATGTATAATAAAGAAAGTTTGTTCTCCAAATGAATGGACTTCTCTTTATTCTAAAAAATCCTTTTCAGTACGATTCATTCCAGATGGATTCACCTATCAAGATTACAAAATGGCTTGGTATCGTGCTTTTCTTTTTAGACCATTCAATCACTCATGGTTCTTCACATTCAAAGAAAATTGCAGCAGAGAATTTTCAATTTGGTTTAATCACTGGTGGAAATGGTTTGGACCACAATCAGAGATATTACCTCCAAATGTGCTTATGGGGTTTCAAACATATCTAAAAAGAGCAAGGGGGGAAGAATATGCAAGACTAATTTTATTCCATATGGAGTTCAAAGTCCCGTGGATATTTTGCTGGAGTTTCAAAATTCATCAAGAGCTGGAAAAACCACTTCCAATGTCATTAGTCAGAGAATTCAAAATTAAATGGTGGACGGGATTCAATCAAGAATTCGGAGATCAACAAAATGTTATCAGATTCCTAACTACCGGAGATAAACTCAAATGGACGAAACCATCATCCACTGCACCAACTTCAACCACTACTCCAAAGACGACAAGACAAGCAACCACTATTCCAACAACTACGTCTTGTCCAACCACTCCAAAGAAAGATAAAGAGAAAGTGACGGAAATGGCATCCGAAGAAATTGCCAGTAACTTTCTGATAAAGCAAATGATGCAAAATCCCGAGATGTTAAAAGAATATCTGAACTATTTACAAAAGCAAGATAAAAAGGAGGAAACTGACAAAATTGAGGAGTCAGCTGGATCATCCGAATCCACCTTTGATCCTTTTGGTGGACCATGCGGACAAGACTCAAATGACTTTTGAAAAAGATGTCGGCCACAATGCAAATTCAGATGAAAAGCAAATTCAAATTCAGATGCAAACTCAGATGAAATGAAAGACAGACTGCTCTATAAATAGATTCAATTGCAAAGGATAGAGCATCGGCGAATAGATCAGAGATAATTTTAGCTTTCATCTAAAAACTCCTACCTACTCTCAAACCTACTCCTACCTACTCCAACCTACCTCTATATTCTAGCTATTGTCAAGTGTATTCAATAAGAAATCAAGAAGTCTTCATTTCTCAAAAGCTTCCGTTGTCTACTCAATATTATCTGTAAGTCCAAATCTTTAAGTGAATTACAAGTTTATATTTCCTTAAGTTTTATGCCTATCAAAAGTTTTAGTTTCAAAGAGCTACAAGGCAACCGATCTTCTAGGTAAGCATAGAACTACTCTTTTTGATGTCAATATTGTGACTAAAGTTGTGGAAGTTTATTTTGTTGAAGTTTCCAGCAACTCGACATCAAATTTGACTGTCGTTGGAAGATGGGTGGATGAGTTTCTTGTGTTAGGGGCAAGAGATGTAAATCTTCTAGCAACAAGTTTCTAATTACTTATTGAAGTATTGCCAAATAATGCTAGGTACTATCATGACAACCTCTACAGAGCTATAGATATGTATTTCAAGGTATGCAACTCTGCTTGATTTCTTATATTTAGGGAGAAAGGAAAAAGGAGTAGTTCTCTTGTCAAGTATGATAGGCATAACATCCCTAGAAATGCATAGAAAGATGACATGTCAAGTGAAATTGTTCACTTTTCACATTTCAATTAGTCTGTTCAAAATGCTTGCCCAAATTTTAGGCAAATCTAGGGGAATAGAGCAAGAATATATTCGATCCCTTATTCATTTTTCGTGAATGTTTGACTGACATGTTATTCAGGTTGAGATTTGCCTTAAACTTATATACAAGCATCTCCAAACCTGATAGAAGAAGAGAGAAGCAATATATGCAAAAGTCATTGACTACAATAAACAGTCACAAGAAGTGCGTAAACATGCCTTCAAGAACAATAGATTGCCAGTAAACATCGCGACACAACTCTTACTTCTTGAACAGGATGCTATGACAAGGTCTTTTAAAGCTGCAGGATCAAATTACCAGAGAACCAAGTCGTAAGCAATAATGAAAGTGAGTAAAGCTTTAGGAAATGGATACACAAAATCTTTGCAGGAAATTGCAGTTATGAAACAGGATGTTGAGAGATTGAAATTTCAGCTAAGAAAATTGCAATTATGCAGGTCAAAGCTTCAAAAGAAAATCAAGACAGGTATCATCTAGCCAAATATTGATATGGTGGAACAACTACACCTAGTTTCTAACTCGATTCTTTCTGATTGTAAAGTCTATGTGTTTGATGGAGATCAGGAGCCTTAGGGCTTTTATGCATTTATTTGCTACTACTATTTTTGCAATAATCAGATCGTACCTTTAATTCATGATGTTCATCGTAATTTGTCTTTCTCTAATTCCTGTGCTTTTGTTTAGGTTAGGAGAGTTCGTCATGGAGCAGCTCATAGGGTTGCTCAATTAGCTAGACCAATCATTGACTCTGTATTGTGGTGGATGGATCCACCAGCTGCTATATCCTCAGCCATCTTGGCTGAAAGTTTGGCTTAATGAAAAGCTTTGCTTTTATCCAAAAAAAAAAAAAAGATTTTGTACATCATGAGATATAATTTTGTACATCATGAATTACTTTTCCACCAATCATTGACTCTGTATTGTGGTGGATTGATCCACCAGCTGCTATATCCTCAGCCATCTTGGCTAAAAGTTTGGCTTAATGAAAAGCTTTGCTTTTATCCAAAAAAAAAAAAAGATTGTATTCTTGAGATATAATTTTGTACATCATGAATTACTTTTGCATATCCTCCAATTACTCCATCATAATAGAGAAGAAGAAGATAACCAACAACTAATTATTTTGATATACCAGACTTTGCTCATGAGCTTATTTTTACTATCCCAATTATCCTTCCCTGTTCATCAATCTGATCATCCCTTTCTTCAACCTCTTTTCTAGCTAGTTGAACATAAAACTCCAAATTCAGAAGAATCTTGATGTCTTGTTCAAGTCCTACACAAATTTGTGCTAACAACTACATAGCTTCCAAGGGAATTGGAATAAATTTCTTCTATTTATCGCTAAGAAAAAAAAATTTTGTTAGTACATTTTGCTAGTGATATGATGGCAAAGGAGAATTGGTGCTGTGTTAGTACCATCACCGTTTGATCCTGCTATATTAGGCTTCATACAAAAATTCCCACATGTATTAGATTTCTTTTGTCTTTTACAATTTAAAGTTTAAAATTGGTCTCACTAAAGATTAATTGATAATTCCATATTCAAGTCAATAGCCTTTGTCAGGGACTTATGGCCTCCCGACAGTTCAAGTTGATAATTCCATATTCAAGTCAATAGCCATTGTCAGGAATTTTACGTCCGTTGACGGATCAGGGTTCAAACTGGGCTGTCAAGTTTGGGAGATAGGAAGGGATTAAGGGAAGGGAAGAAAAAATATATAAAAAAAGATAATTTCATATACAATTTTTCGTAATTTGCATCCAATCCGTTTGGATTAGTTATTTTTTGGGGTGTTTTTGAAAAATTTTGCTGTAGCAGAATTTTTGGATTATATTTATGAAATTTTCAGGAAATATTTTGAGATATTTAAGAATAGAAGAGTTTTTAGAATATATGTTGAGATATGTTTTAAAATTTAAACTAATTTTTAGATTAACTTTTAAAGTACTTTTTAAAAATTTTTATTATATTTGAAAAATTAATTTTTGAAAAGCACTCCAACACTTCAAATGAAATTCCAAATTGAGCATTGGGTACATATTACTTGAACAAATACAAATTAGTAGTACCTTCTAGAAGCGTTATTCTTGAGCTGCCTCCAAACCCCGCTTTCTCTCAACCGCTCCTCTTAAGTAAGTAGGAGAGCCACCACGGCTTTAGTACAGACTGGTTTTTTTGATTGGCTATTTCTTCTTCGTCTGGGAAAAATAGAAAGAAAGTAAAAAAAATGGAGCACCCGCAGAGCAAGAGCGATACACTTTCTCCCCATCCGACTCCAAACCGGAACCCGTGCCCCATCTGCCTCGGACCCGTCATCGATGAGTCGTATTTGGACCAATGTTTCCGTACGACTATCTCTCTTCCTGATTTACTTTTCTGTTCTTTGTAGGTTTTGAGAGCAATAATTCCTTTCAAATAAAATATCAAGAATTTGATTGAATTTAGTCGAGAAGTTTGAATATTGCAGTACTTGGAAACCCTAATTGGCGATGTAAATGGAGGATTTGTTTCAAAAATTTGTGGGAAGCCCTCAAATCTATGTCAAAAGTTCATTTAAGTGCCTGAACTGTCAAATGGAGAATTTGTGGGAATATTGCAGTTCTTGAAACCCTAATTGGAGATGTAATGGAGAATTTGTTTCAAAATTTGTGGGAAGCCCTCAAATTTATGTCAAAAGTTCGTTTAATGAAATTCTTGAATCAATTTGTTTAACAAAGATATCACATTCTTACTCCATTTCCCTTACAGTTTCCTTTATCTACTCTTCTGTAAGTTCCACCAATTATTCCTCCCTAGTTTGATTGTTTAACTAGTTCTTTGGGGATTTTTTTGTTTGTCTGATGAAGGATAGAATGGATAACTAGAATCCAAAAGGTTGGATTTTTTGCTGAAATTAGGACCTTAATTTTGAAGAAATGCATTGGTTGTGGAGAGATGAAATGCTGAATCAATCAAGGCATACTTAGTACTAGAATGTAAACAATAATTTAAGTCAGTGTATATATATTTGAATCCCACACCTGCAGAAATTTGACTTGAATTACAATTTCTTGGAAAAACCATTTGGTCAGTAACTGAGCTGTTGCTTTACAGATAAATTTTGCTACAACTGCATTTTGCGTTGGACCAAAGTGGTAGCTTACAATTACTCTGCACCACCTACTTCAGTAAAATGTCCTTTATGCAAGGTTTGGGTTTTTTGTTCTGACAGTTAGATTACTTTCGTTCGCTTGATTCCTTGGGAACTGCTCATGTTTCTGAACTCATGGTAAAGTTTGAATCTTTTGATCAAAAGGATGTGGTCTAATTAAATGACAACATCTACAAAGAGTTGCAATTACATGTGTCTCTGTTGGTTTTCCTGTCTTTTAATAAGATGGAAGGGGAGCCCGTATATGCTAGATATTGTTTGTTTATTTTCCAAAATTTCCTTTTTGCTTATGATATTAAGTGATATGAAATTTGTCACTTGGCTGATATTCATGCTAAACTTCTATCGGAAACGTGGGGAATTTGTCTAGAATTGTTTAAAAGTTGTTTAAAAAAAATGCTGAGTTGGTTTGCTTTATTTATGATTTTGGTGCAAATTGACCTTATGAAGTTGAAGTGAGTTTTAGGACTAATTGTTTTGCCTTCAGTAGCAAAAGTATAGGTGTTGTGGAGTGACCGCTTAACAGGATTTGTAGGACTATTTAAAGGGGCCAACCATGAGTATTAGCATTTCCTTTATTGCAAACCAGATAAGGTGAAGGGGATAAAATGAAAAAAAGAAAAGGTAAATCTGTTAGATTCTCTATTATTGAAACAGGGGTCATTTCTGAAGTAGTCGAATGAGTAGCAAAGGGAAAGAATGGTCATAAAATACAGGATTCCTACTTGCTTTACAAGTCCATTATCTGTGGCACATTGCTTCTAGATTAGTCCATGGAACCTAATTATATGTCATGGAGCCTCTACTTACAGTAAGAATTTTCCAAGAGTGCTGGTGCTTCTTTTCTGCAGAAAAGCTTTTGAAATAATCGCATATAATTCAACAACTCCAACCAAAAGATACTAGAAGAAAAAGGAAACTTGAAGGGACTAATGAATTCTTCAGTTATCCCTTAAGTGGTGCATCTATTTTCCTGTTTGTTGTTTCTCTTCCTTTGGAGTAGTATTATTTTCTTTTTTTCAGTGAAGATCAACTTTCTAGTATCTCTGACATGCAGACTGAGAACTTTTCTATTATACACGGATGTGATGGAATTTCTTTCCAAAGGCATTTCATTGGTCAGGATTTTCATACAAGGTATAATGGTTTTTCGTCAATTGTAGTTGTACAAGTCGCTGTAGGTTTTTTGCTCATACTTTTGTTAATCAAATCCTCAGTGATTTCTTTACAAAAGCACACAAATACAGGCTACAGTCCTATTACTGTGAAACAGGTACCATGCTGCTTCTTTGTCATTTCATAAGCGTACTTAATTTTTTAGCCCTCTGTTGTATTTAGTAGGAACCATGTTTTCTTTCATTGCTCCGCGTGTTTCATGACCAAGTGTCCCTTTCTTTGTTTAATGCAAGATAAACAGGTACATTAATTGATATATTTAATCCAACCCGTTATTGGAAGTTGCACAAGTATCTTCAGCCAAGTCATTGGCTTTATGACTGGATGAGAAGGGAAATTCAAGCTTTAACTCAGGTTGATTTTATCTTTCTCCCTTTTCATTTACTTGATGCATTTGCACTTGTAATCTTTAATTGCATAGAGGATCTCGATCTTTATGGGGAGCTGTTGGGCAAGACACAAGAAAAAGAATAAAAAACAAGAAAAATGTGATTGGTTTGGAAACTTTAGCTCTTGCTTGAAGTCCATGAACCACTGGGGGCCTCGGGCTGCACCTTAGCCTATCAACCTTTTTGGCAATGTAGCTCATAAAAAAAACCTGTGAAGCTTTCTAGATCTCTATTTCTGATACCATTTTACTTCTCTGCCAGCTCCCAGACTCTTTTGTTGATAGAAAAGTGTAAGCTTGTTAGTTGTTATCTGAATTCCATGTTTTCTGCCCAGACTATGCATGAGATGTGACAATCATTACCTTAGGAATAGAAACTACCTGCTGTACAAAATGGTCATGGTATACTTCAGCTCTGCGAAATGGAACTGACTCATCTCTTACACAAAGCTGTCTTTTAAGAGTTTACCGATATACTCCCTTCGTTATTTTGCATCCAGGAGGAGGATGTTGACATTGTTGTTCATCACATACTCGGTGTTATTGAATCCTGGAGAAGGTAATATGACTGTGTATGGTCGTGTTCATTGGAATGAATTGCAGCAATTTTAGACAGCATGATTACAGTAGACGTTCCTCCTTTGCTTTATAGCACTATATTTTTGTCTTCAACATGGTTCAATTGATATTCCAATTATTTGGGGTAGTGAGCTCACTACAAACCCTCATGTTCACAGAACTGAGCAAACCAGTTCAAGAACATCACCCGAGGCAAAGCGAGAAAGATTTAGAATCTTAGTCTCTGAGGCAGCCAGATGCTTCCTAACAGGCAGAACAAATCAATTTGTGAATGAGTTGGAAATGTTTCTTGCCTCAGGATTGAATATTGATGCATATGATAAAGTCTATCTGAAGAATTTGGGTTGGAAAATTCCTGAAATAAGTGAGGATGAGGAAGAACCTCATGAACATGCCCCTGCAGTTCCAAACTTGTACTTGTTTGATGAGGACTCTGATTATACAGAGTAGAATTTCTTCCTTAGCTTCCGATTAATTCGTTCTATTCCATCCTTCTGGTCTTGTAATATAATCTCTGACCTGTCTCTTTGTACCCAGTGGAACATCATCTATCCGGTAGTGGTAATTACCTCACTCCATCATTATGTTGATCCCTTCTCCTTCATCTTGTTTATGTTTATATTTTAGGCTCACACTTGGTAGACCCGATCTTCAAAGATTCAATGGCCCAAATTGTGCTATACTATCTCACCAAGTGGAGTGGCACAATCTGAACCATA